AAACAATAGCATATTACACCCAAATAATTACAAGGTAGGAAATAATGAAGATAAATGAAGAAATGATGGATTAAAAGACAGTAGAGACAACTAGTGAGAGCCAGTTATTTGGAAACACTTCTATAACACTTTCTGTCAGTATTATCGACTACAAAAAAAAAAGAAGCAGAAATAAGTGATATTAGTTAAGTAAAATTCTACAAACTATACCTATAGGACAGATTTAAAGGCTATAAGAGAATACCATAAATACATTTACCAGTGCATCAGGAAAATAAATGGTGGATAAGTAAAAGGTCCAACTTAGAGAATTATTTTAGCTAATAAACACAAAAGGATGATAAAAGTACAATTCTGCAAACCTAGTACATTAATGGATGAGGGCAATGATCCTCAATGACTATCAACATCACCACAAAGGAAAGAGTAGACATCATATATCTCCAAATGGAAGTGCACAGTGTTGCCTATGGAGTAGTGTTACCAATAAATAAAGATATAAATCTTCATTTATTCAACTTTCTTCCTATTACTACTGAGAATTGTTGATGCTGAATGCCAGTTATATTGGGTTCATTATTCTATTCTCTGTACTCCTGTATATGTATGAAAATTTCAATGATATGATTTTATTATAAATAGCATGCTTTTAAATTTAAAAATCTAATTGAACTGAAATATTTTCAGCAAAATATAAGTGATTAAATAATTCCATAAAGAAATAGAAAGCTTTAACAATGTAAACTAAAATTGTAGTTAAAACCCAAGGCACCCACAAAATGTTCCTAGACCAGTCAACTTTGGAGGTACCTGATACAAAATGGTGAAGAAGAAATGAATCAAAATTTTATATAAACAATTCCAAACCAGACAAAAAGATATGAAATGACTCATCCATTCTAATGGGCAAGCTCTCCTTGACAAAATTCATATAAGGATAACCTGAAAAAAAGAACACATGAGCCAATGTAATATAGTGGTAAATTAAAAGGAAATAAGCTACATCAAGAGACTACAAAGATGGTATCACATTAAAAAAACTAATCAGAATTCGCTATACTAACAACAGGGAAAAAGTATTTGATCATGTGTAGAAGTAAAGAAAAAGCTTTTGATAAAAATTCACATGAATTGATAATAACAACTTTTAGCAACCTTATCAGATGGAACATTCAAATCATAAAATCATAAGCAAATATACATAAATGTGATATATTAGAAGCATTCCACAAATTGGGAAAAACACACAGAGGTATGGCACCATAGACATGGATGTGAAGGGATAGCAGGACACAGCAACATACAAGAATAATAAAATCAAGAAATAGATAGTAATAGTACTAATATGATCCTATAACTTAAATGTCTAATAGATAACAGAATATTCACATATACAAGAAACATCAAGATGCTACTATATAGAAAATCGCTGTAGCGAAATCAGAAGGCTAGTCACACATAATCGATCAGTAAACAATAAATAATGGAAAATATAACACGACACCAGCAATAATTAAAATGTACATAAAATGAAAACTGGCTAAACTACAAGATCTTTATGGAGGCACAGATAAAACTTTACTGATAGAGTTCGAGAAAGACAGTCCCAAATAGAGTAGTATAATATGTTTCCTCAAGGGGACAGAATATTGTAAATATGTCAGTTTGTTTAGTTTTACAAATGTAGGGCCTTATCCATAGCTTCCAAGATGACAGACAAACTTAACATGCTTGGGACCCAAATCCACCAAGGAAAAACTAAAGAAGGAATAAGTAGAACAATGTCAACACTAACAGAAACAATAATGAGAC